TGTTTTTATAGGACTATAAAAAACAGGAGGCCATTCATCCTATTCAGCTTAATGATAAGGCTATGGATCCCTCTGCCAAAAGGAAGTATCATCCACTGTTCAACCTCCAATTCCTTATTTTAAAAACCTCAGTCAAATCATTCCTTTGCACGAAGGAATATAACATCAGCCAGCAAAGCTTCTCGTTATAGCTAAAGCCCTTCAGCCCAGGTCTTTATCTAGTGAACAATTGTTAAATGGTTTTAAGCACTCCTTGATGTTACCCCGTATGTAGGGCACTGTAGAGATGCAAGTCATTGTTGGTTGTGGGTGTTCTGGAACGTTTAGATGGGCCGAAGGGGGTTCTTCACCCAGATCAATCTTGCGATCCTGCAACACCGTCCAAGGTGCTGGCTCAGTTGGAAGCACTCTCGCCTCAGAGATAAAAGATTGCTGTGGGGCATCTAGGCTTTGCTGGGAAAGCAGTGAAGGGCAGCTCAACTGATGCTTAAGTTGAACATTGAAGTTATGAGTCTACAGAATCTGGGAATGTTCACAAAAAGAGGTTCAAAAGAGATCAATTAAACCAAACAAGTCAAGACTGTAAAGGGTACAAATACAATGAACCCTAATAATAAGTTCCAACATACAAGTAAAATCTAACACAAGAGGACATGGGCTAAAATTCAGAAGAGATGATGTTCAGATTAATATGTGAATATTTGGAATAGACTACCCAAGCATTCTGGAGGCAGATTACATCAGCAATTTCAGAGAGAATTTGATTTTCTTTAAATTTAAACTCTTTGTTACTGTGGGAACAATCAAATGGACCCACAATTTTCTTTTCCACATTCCTAAGTTCCTAACATTTCTTGATCAGATTCCAGGCTTCTTTTAACCATCACGTAAGGTTTCTGCCAATGGATTCTCCAGGTAGCTGACTGCACTGTTTTGGGATTTCAGTTGATGAATCTTTCAACACAACTGAGATGTCAGACTTCCGATCAACCTTGTCAATTTTATATATTTTTTTAGAAAGATTATAGTAATATTACAATGTACTGCAATTCAGAAAACCTGTTTATCCACAGGGGAGAGTGGTCTGAATTTAAACTCATGTATAGTCTCATATAGAGTTTGACACTTAAAACCTAGTTTGTAAGATCTTGCATCAACCACTATGCACTGAACCACTTCATGTAATAGTATAAAAGACTTAAGTAACAAGTAAATATTTTGTTAAATATATAATTAAATACGATTTGATAGATTTGAAAGTTCAGCATATTAATGGTTTAATAAAATGTGGCCTTCTGGTACAAACCACCTACAGGTACAGCGCATGGCTGTCTAAAAATGGACTCTACATTCATCATTGAAACAGCTGCGGTGACCACATATTCCCAGGTCAATAAAAAGAAGCTATTTAAACCTCCAATTCTAGCCTACTATCTTTTCTCCGTCCCATTTCCAAGACTAACAGAAAGAAATTTTTAAACAGTGTAGCACTTTTGAACTAAGATACCAAAGGATGCTGTCTTTAAAATTCAAAACAAATCGTCTCTCCAACTTCCACACCAAAAATTTGCACATTGGCCGTGTGTTGGTCTGTAGCTAGAAATAGCCTGGACGCAGCTGACATTAAGCAGTAGTTTCATGGTGCCAGACAAGAAGAATCTTTGAATTAAGCAAAGGGAAACAGTTGCTACTTAATAGTTACACAGCTCTACTGCAGGAAAGGGCATTACCCAAAGAAAGGGACAATTTCAGATTAAAGAATGCAAATTAGAAAGCAGAACTCATCCATATCAAAGGAACTATAAATTATTTATAACTACCTCCAAAAGGCAAGTCTTCATTTGTGCATCAAAGAAAAAAAACTTCCATTTTACTGTATAAAATAAGTGCCATCAATGTGCCCTAAATTTTTATACCGTAAAAACAAAAAACACATTTGATCAAAGATAATGAAAAGGGTTTACTCAATCCAGAAAGAACTCTTATTTGTGCCTTCAAAACCAATAACCAAAAAAAAGCAGAGAAAACTACATCAAGCTACCATAAAAGCAAAGAATCTGTTTTGACAGTAATTTGGATAATGCATCTTAAAAGGTCACACATGCGAAAGGCTGTGAAGTAGAAATGTCACCGGTTACGAAGTGAAGCAGCAAATAAAGATCGGACTATTGAATAACTCCAACTTCACTAGCACGCAGCTCGACTGTCACACCCTAATTTTTCCAAAAGTTACAGCGCATATATACAGGGCATGTATAGATTACACCCAACACAATCACCTCATGCCCATACAGACAGGGGTTCCGCTGCACTTAACAACCAGGAGTAGCAACGCTGGTTAATATTTATTTTCCACCAGAAACACAGGCCAATAATAACTCTGCACAAGTCAGAGATTCAAAACCAGACCTGCCCAATTTCAATTCTGTTTAAAAAACAAATCAGCGGTTGACTGTTCATCAAACCCCTCTTCTATCTTAGGCACAAAACATCAGTTGTTTGAGATGATCTTTGGTACTGGATACTTTTATACTGCAAACGATACCCACCCTTACTAGGCCCAAGAACGTGTGTGCCAAAACCTGATTACAGATTTCCCCATATCACTTTTCGCTTAAGAATGACACACAAGAGAATGCCATATCAACCTCAAAGATTTGAATAAACAAAAACACTATTATTATTAATAATATTCAATAACTAAAAACCATATTAGCCATTGGACAAATTCTCACTCTACCCAGTTACATTCCACACTGGATCTCACTGGACGTATGTAACTGGATTTCTCTGCATCCAAGGGATTCCTCAAGGAAAAAAAACAGTAATAAATTGGTCACTTCAATCCACGACTGTTTGTGGGACACTGCTGTGCGCAATTGACTGCCGTGTTCTGCCCACAAATATACAGTCAATTCATTTTACAGTATATTCTGTGAAGCGCTTTGAGATGTCAAGAAGACATGAAAAGCACTCTATCAAAATACAAGGATTGTTATTATTTTTATTATCTCCAATTCTTTTTTAAGAGTGGTACTGTTGTTCAGCAGGTCAAGTAATGACCCTTCATCTCTTAGACCAAATCTGGAGAAATCTTGTGAGATGAATGTTTCGCTGCTTGGCATGTTGTAACTTTCCAATATGAAATGGATTTGGAATTTCAATCTAAATCTTATGGGGCCTCCACTCTTGGGTGCCAGATGGAAAGGTACTAGTGTAACAGGAGGCTCTCATGGGCTGGGGCTAAGACAAGTAATGTGAGCATAATATTGTACATTTAAATGCCATTGTATATGTGTCTGGACAATGGAATGACTAATGTGTGAAAGACAAAGATGTGGAGCAATGTCACCTGTTATTTAGGTAGCCATTGATCTGAAAAATGATGGTCAAAGTTTTTGGATATTCAAGGAATATTCCAGAAACAATCTCAGAAGCCATAGGAAATTTAGAAGTCATAGAATCATAGAATCGTACAGCAGAAAAAGAGGCCATTCGGCCCATCGTGTCTGTGCGGCTCTTTGAAAAGAGCAATGTAATGTCAATCCCACTCCCCAGCCCTTTCCCCATGACTCTGCAAACCCGTCCTCCTCAAATACCCGTCCACCGCGTTTTTAAAAGTAGTTATTGAATCGGCCTCGTCCACCCTTTCAGGCAATGCGTTCCAGATTTGAACAACTCGCTGCGTGAAAACATTCCTTCTCACCTCCCCTCGGCTTCTTTTAGATACTATTTTGAATCTGTGACCTCGAGTCACCGACACACCCACCAGTGGAAACAGTTTTTCCCTTTCTAACCTATCAAATCCCCTCATGATATTGAAGACCTCTATTAGGTCTCCTCGTAACCTTCTCTGCTCCAATGAGAATAATCCCGGCCTCTCTCACCTTTCCTCATCATCAAGGTCCCTCATTCCTGGTACCATTCTTGTAAATCTTGTAAAAACCACAGTTCTGTAGCTCAGTGGTTAGAACCCTCGCCTTGCAAGCAAGAGGCTTGGGTTTGATTCCTGGCAGGGTGAAACCTTGGACAAGTTTCCTTACTCCACATGCCTGATAATAATCCCTCAAGAAAAAAAATAATAATTTGGTCACTCATCCATGACTGCTTGTGGAACACAGCTGTGAGCAATTGGCTGCCGCGTTTCACCCACAAAATATACAGTCAATTCACTTTACAGTACATTCTGTGAAGCGCTTTGAGATGTCTAAAAGATGTGAAGGATTATTATTATTAAAAAGTTAATCTCTGGGGCTCAACAAAGAGTGATGCTCAAATGTCAGCACTATGCCTCCAGTGTTGAACATTACAACCTTCAAGGGAAGCTTCTCACCAACAATCTAATCAGGCAGGCCTGCAGGCTTAAGAGTCATTGTGGATAAATTGACAGCGTTGAACTTGATGCTTGAAACAAAGGGAACACCAGCAGCTAGCTGCAAACCACCCTCATCAAAGCAATACCTTCTACAATCCGATTTGAAAAACTATTCTTATACTCTGCCAAAATCAGGCCTTAAAAATACTGAATTGAGTATTTGCCCCCACTCTCTGGTTCACTCTCACAAAATCTCCCTCACTTTGCACCCCTCTGCTTTCACAACCCTCCAGAAAACCTACCCTTTTCATTGCACCTTTGTTCGCCTCTCTTCTAGCCTCCCATCTTCCAATTTGCTCAGGCTCAACTAAAGTTCCTATAAAGTACTTGAAGACTTTATGTTACTTGAGAGGTGGTTTATAAGTGCAAATTGTTGTTGTTATTGAACACCATTCAACCATTGATAGATCTCCTCCAGATGAGAAAGCATGGGGTGCGTGCTTAACAGTTAAACATTTCTAACTATGATTAACTTCATTTGTTTAAAATTTGAATTCACGATAGACAAGATTTAAACTCAGACCATATAAAATACAAATAGAATTATATCAGTATATACATTACAAAGTTTCACAATGCAACTAAGTTCTGACGTATTTAAAAAATGCAATGTGCAGATACTTACACACTGCTGTCTGTCAATGACATGGTATCCGCATCACTTGACATGCTTTGCTGCTCACTGTCATTGGCGCTGGTTGCTGGTGCCAGGGCATACCCAGTGTTGACATAGTAAGGGTTGACAGGCTCACGCCATGCCCCATGCCTGATTAAAAAAAAGCAGTGGATTAGCACACTAAAACATGACAGCGAATTTTTCATTTTAGCAAGAAATTAACTTTGCTTATTGAGTAACTCTCAATTGCTGAACCTTACTTGAAGAAGCACTTCATTTTCTTCGCTGTTAAATTTCTTTGCAAATTCAGTAAAATTACCATTATTCAAAAATTCCAAGAAATGAAAGGTGGAATTCAGTCCAACCAAAACAAAGAGGGAAAATGTGTATTTGTTAAATGTTCTGAGATGTTACCCCATGTATGAGGGTCGCTATATAAACTCAAGTTGTTGTCTGTAAGAATTGGAGGCGGGGGGGCGGGCAGCAGAAAACCCGTAGCTTAGTGGTTAGAGCACTCGCCTTGCAAGCAGGAGGACCTGGTTCAATTCCCGGACAGGGCAAGATGTTGGGCAAGTTTCCTTACTCCACGTGCCTCTGTTCACCTAGCAGTAGGTAGGAACCCGATTGTTAGTCGATTGGTGGATCGCTTTCCCGAGAGTAATAATCCCTTCCAAAAAAAAAATTTGATCACTTAATCCACGACTGTATGTGGGACATTGCTGTGTGCAATTGGCTGCCACGTTTCGGCCACAAAATACAGTCATTCACTTTACAGTATATTCTGTGAAGCACTTTGCGATGTCTCAAAGACGTGATAAGGGGCGATTTCAAATGCAAGGATTATTATTATACTGTATTTGAGAAAACAATGGAATCAGAGATATTGCCACAATGATAAACATGATGGGAATACTTTCCAGATTGTCAGATTTCACCAAATATAAATTATTGCATCAAGTCCTAGATTTTTGATATAGCATTCTATCAATAAACTAGCCACAATCTTTGTGATACTACGTCTAGTAATACCACAATGAATCTTAATGTGCCATAGATGTACCATTTTGATCACATGACATAATGGAAGCAAAGTGCTGACCTTAAAGTGTAATTTTTTTTATGAACAGGTGCACAAAGTGCTGACATTTTTTAGTGTGTTCAATGTTTAATTAGGACACCACATGGCTCCCAGTGGAATACCATATTTTTCTAACTCATGAATACATTCACACCATTGCTCTTCACCAGTAAGGCGATCAGATTTCACTCCACTTACCAATTTATGTACCATTCAAGCTCAAAATTGAATATTACTCCAACAAAAATATGACTTTTAGAACAATCCAATGGGACACGTTTGCAATTTACATGTTGAACTGATGCAGATTCGATGGCAATTAATCTTGCCAATCACAAAACAGTACCAATTTCCGCAGAATTAAAGACTGTGTTTACCTTACCTGTGAGGATTTAAGGTAAGGTAAACACAACAGCAAGTTATACCTTAGAAACAATTCACTTTATTGAAGTGAATTATACTTTCCTATTAATGTCAATCTGCCATTTAACAACATTTCGAAGAAAATACCCAATGAGGTTCTGAAATTGCTTGTAGAAAATTTGTTTTATAAAATATTGCTGCTAAATATTTATCTAACATTTGCCAGTATCTTCTCTTCTCAAACCACAGTATAATACAGACTGCAGTATATGGTAGGAAGAAAACACAAACCTGACACAGCCTATTGCAGAAGGATTCATTGTTATAGGTTATGCTGATTTGGATTATCAAATAATTCTATAGACTGTTTGAGCTACTAAAACAATGGAAATATCCTATGAAGGATGAATATAGGATTTGAGGTTAGATAAATAATAATCCTTGCATTTGATATAGTGTCTTATCATTTCTTCAAGAACGTTTCAACGCACTTCACAGTATATACTGTAAAGTGAGTTGACTGTATATTTTTCTGCAGTTTCATTTGATTCAATTTCACTTCTTTTGGTGGAGATTAGTGTTTGTGTTTGCATTTGTGGGGGGAAAGAAAGAAGAAAAAAATGACCCAAATCAACTTTATAGAATCTTTCTTCCTAAGATTAAATCCATAAGAAGAATGGATCACACAGGGAGACTACAATGATTCACTTTAACAGGATGGTGGATCTTTTCACGTTCTGTGCTTTTACATGCATTGGGTTTGACCACCAAGTTATCCAGCTACTGATTTTTCCAAGGGCTATACCAAGGATGAGAAGTTTTACTGACGAATAGTTGGAAAAATATGGAGCTGTTTCCACTGGAACTGTTTGTGGTTTGCAGATGCTGATCATGCCCCGGCATCCCCAAATGGTAGAACCATCACTCAATGGATAGGGAGGTATGTATGTCTGAGCTGTGGGCAGGAGGATGGTGGCAATGCTCGCATGCATCTCATGCTAAGGTATACTGCTCAGTAGGAAACTACCAGGGAGGGAGTTCCTGATACATTAAACTCCAGATAACTTGTAATTCTAAGGGAAAAGAGATAAACAGCGAGTTATCCGGAGTGGCATAGGTGTGTGTGTGTGTGTGTGTGGGGGGGGGGGCTACTTAAGCGGTTGTGGCAAGTTAAGTCAGGTCGAGTGAAAAGGAGTTTACTGTATCTGTTATCCACTGAGCAGCTAGCACCATCACAGCTAGGCAGAATCAGCTTCTTTTGTTCTGTAATTTTTATGATTTACCTTCATTAAATATGCAAATGGTTAGTAACATTTTTTTGATAGATACACCTAACTGTTTTGAAAGATTAAAGTACCTTTGGATTTCCTCATTAGACACCATAAAACAGAAATGTCATTTCATCCATTGTTACTGTTATGAAACTGTACTTATAAAAAATATTGGATCAAAAGATTGCTGAAATTGAAAGCTCGTAATCCATTTGAATTAATGGCCAAAAGTAAAAGCTCTAACAATCAACATTAAGTTTTCCAATTATTTACAGAAAACATAAAAAGACGATAACGAGGCTTGGAAATGAGACTAGAATTTTCAAAATATTTGCATTATTGCAAATTTAATGAATTGTGCATTTGAAAAAAACCCAGCTCATTTTGTACTCTTTATTTTCTATGTGAGCCACATGTTCATGCTATACTTGGCTAACAATGTTCAATGCTTATTTATGGGATAAGTGAATTGTGCACATTTGGAATTCCTATTTTACTCTTTTCATAGAGATTGAAATCATGCAAGTGATTTTTCCTCAGTTAATTCCCAAACACGGGCTGTGAGGGGGAAAGATAATTGCTGACCTCAGACAAGGAGGGAATATTTTAAAGTAATGGAATAACCTAGGTTACTGATACTGCATTGGAGAGCGGTGCAGAACCAAAAAAAAAACTGTAAATTTAGTCTCGGTATACAAAATACAAAAAACAGTACTGACCTGCTGCAAAATAAAGGCGTTGCAGAACACTTAGTTTAAAATTGGTAGCTTCCTCCTTCCCCCGATCCTTTACTTGATAATACTACTTACATTTGATATGGTACCTTTCACATCGGGAGAACATCTCAAAGCACTCCACAAGATATATTGTAAATAATAATAATAATAATCCTTGCATTTGATATAGCGCTTTTCACGTCTTCTAGATGTCTCAAAGCGCTTCACAGAATATACTGTAAAGTGAATTGACTGTATATTTGTGGGCGAAATCGGCAGCCAATTGCGCACAGCAATGTCCCACAAACAGTCGTGGATTGAAAATGACCAATTTATTATTGTTTTTGGTTTTGGAGGGATTATTATTAGGCTCTGTGTGGAGTAAGGAAACTTGCCCAAGGTTTCGCCCTCTGCCTGGAATTGAACTCAGGTCTCTCGCTTGCAAAGATTTTTTTTAATTGTGGTACTCACTCCTGCACTATACATTGGCTCTTCCCGCAGATGTATAAATGGAATCACAAAGCTAGGCTAGAGGGACAGAACGGACATCGGCAACCATATGCTAGGGTGGACATGGTAGAATCAGCGAGGTTTCCCCAGATTGTATTCAGTGACCCCCTACAGCAAAGGCCATTCATATGGATGTTTGGATTAGGGTCAATGGCACTGCCTTCAACAGTGAAGTAGTCTGCCAAAAAAGGCTGCCCAAGAAAGGCCCTTGGGTCTAGTACTAGAAGGTCAATGATGCTCATGGAACTTTACACAACTTTTGCCAGAGACTTAAGAAGAAGCGAGTAGGGAAAATAAAATAGGATTTGAGTTGAAATATTTTCTATATTTAGTAATGCACCTTTGTGAGGTAATATTTTGAGCTGCAAAAACTTCCAATATTGGCAGTTAAACAGAATATTCTGTTTAATACTCTAATGTTACTATAGAATTAAGGTTTCACAATTCTTTACTAAAACAATCTTGACAGCAGCAAGTTACTCAGATACTGCTCTGCATACAATAATTAAAATAATCTTAAAAAACCTGTAATCTAACAGGACTATTCTGAAGATGTAGTAAACAAGAGTAAAACTTAAGACGACAAAGATTGGATCACGGCTATTAATTCACTACTGTACTAACACCCACTGAACACTGCCATTTTATTTCTTATGCATAATCTTTTGACTCCGTTCCTATAACCATCAGGAAGCATTTGTAATTTTTGAGGCAGCCGACAAATTTGTCAGGAACAGTAATAAACACTGCACATGGCACTTCCCTGTAATCATTTACAAATTCATTTCCCACTAAATAAACTCAAAAACAAAATTCATCATGTGATGCTTCAATAATCTCTCATTTCACTGATGCCATCATTTTATCTGCCATCAGCACAAATGATTTTCAAAACCAAAATTCATCAGCAATAAAAAACATGTGATTCTTCCAGCTATAAGACAACTATGGTCTGCAAACTAGAAAATGTGTGAGACACAAAGGAATGGCTTTATACTCAACTCTCAATGATAAAATTGCATTTTGCTCAGTAAAAATAGGGGAAAAAAAGATTTCCATGATCTTTCCCCAGCTATCAATTTGAGCAAAATCACATTTAGATCTCATTAAGCTGTTCTAAATCTCTTTACCGTTATGGTCTGCATTGTAAGGGTAAACAACAAACAACTTGTTTATAATAGTTGACAATGAGTAATTTAGCTTGACCCAAAA